CGGGGAAGCTCGCCTTACATGTACATTTCTTACTTAGATTTACTTGTAAAAAAGAGTAGGAAAAAAAAGAAAAAAACCGGATTGCCGAAACCCGGGATTGAACCGGGGACATTTAGATCTTCAGTCTAACGCTCTCCCAGCTGAGCTATTTCGGCTGTTGGGAAACCGTATCGTACATGTTCATCTCTCAGATAGATTTGTTTGCAAAAGTAAGAAGAAAAAAGATAAACGAAAAACTAGGGGTGGGACTGCCGAAAGCCAGGGTTGACCCGAGGATAGTTAGGTCTTGAAGCAAACACTCTCCCAACTGAGCTATATCGGCTAAACCAAAAACCACGCGTCTCGTTCCAATCAATACTGTAACTCGGAAGTCAAAACATTTTCTCATTTATTTTTAGTCTTTGAAAATTGTATAGTATATACATAAATTTATGCAAAACAGTTTCAGTTTCATTTTGTCAAATTCTCTCTTCTTTACTGTATACATAAATTGAACTTTGCTAATGAATATCCTACATTTGTACAAATGGCTACTTCTTATTCGCATTAAAAAAGGTCTAACAATATCTGCATAAGTTAATTTCCAAAATTTGATCTACTTTTATGAAATTTTACATTATTTTTTTAACATTATAATATAAATTTACATTCAACTTCGATATTAGTCACTTGTGAAGTAACCCGAATTACTTGTTTACCTCTAAGTTTGGCAAAAATGACTTGAATAAAAATATCACATTTGTATCTTTTTAAACTATAGTACATATAAGATGTGAAATGTTTTTTAGTGAATTATGAAACAGTGCAACGAAATTATTAAAAGTTCGTGAATAAAATATTCAAATAAAAAAATTCCCATATCTGGAATTTTCATAACATAGAAATACATTGAAGTGTCTTACACATTAACAACGAGTTTTTTGCGCAGAATTATCGGATTCTAAAATCCATACTTCTATACTTTTAACATTAACTACATATACAGACAGCAGGAGAAATTTTATGTGGCTAAATATTGTACCTTGGACATAATTATGTACTTCCTTCACAATGCCTGTACTTCAAAATTACAACATGACACTTTCCTAAGTAAACTAGGAGTAACTAAATTATTCACCATAATTTATTCGCAAACGAAGGTTACTGGAATCAATGATAAGAGTAATTACATATTGAAGCTATTCAAGTATTAGAAGCTATTCAGTTTAGATTAAAATGCACAATAAATGCTTACTAAAGCTGACCTAAAACACAAAGAAGTACTGTCATGCCAGCTTCTGATAATGCTCGGAGAATTGCATTCTTGATTGAATTATGAGCAATGAAATTAGCATCATTATAAAAATTCTGAATAGTAATGCTACTCTGTAGACCAGAATTATTGTTCTTGCCTTTCGTCATGTTCTCTTCGACACACATAATCATAGTCTTCTTTTATTTATCGCGATAGTGTTATGTTCTTTTAGTCTTGTTAATCTGAATGTTTAATTAATTTGTACCTTCAAGAAGAACGAATAAGCAAATACACTTCAGATCTCTCACAAATTGAAGTTAAGTGTATATAGATATATCTGTTTACATTACATAGGACAAGGTTTTGATAATATTGTGGATTGAATTTTCTTATATTTCTCATGTCACTGTTTCAAGTTCACTCTGAACAACTTATAACCAAATATCCAGCTGGATGACGAAAATTTTTTATTTCACAGGCAATCCCCAACGTGCAAATCATCATTCGTTATTTAAGTTTTGCAATGAATAAACGATTCTTGGTTTCATAAATCTAAATAGATTAATATAAATCTTTACCAAACAGAGATAGTTTTTATGGAGCAATGCGTCAGATATATCATACAAAGTAGTTCTATGTCAGTGCAAAAAATGCTTGCAGGATATATTAAAATTAAAGTAAGTTTGACAGAAATGGATTTTTCCAGCTAAAACTTTTTCTAAAGTTTATAGATATAACACTAATTGAATAAAAGTATAAATTTTTGAACTTGATAATCCTGTTCGCAAATTTCTTTTTAAACTGTAGAAAAAATATTATCAGGCGAATTTTCACATAAATTCGGTTTAACACAGAAAATAACACAACTATAAACGCCATCAAGATTTTATCTGAAAACTAACTAATAATTGATTTTCAACTGAACACCTTTCACTAAAGTAATTAAATGTAACATTAATTATAGCATTTGAAATCGCAGTTTGCAAAATATATATAAATAAGCCGCATACTTTTATGCAAATTCGTATTCCTTACTATATAAGTAAACACAACAATTAAGATAGAAAATAATTTTACTACAAAAAAAAAATGATAAGCTCGCTATACTTCGGATATTTTATATGTATACGTTTTTGCATCGTGTGCATTTTGTACACATTTGTTATAAGTGACATTAATAAGTAATAGTACGAATAAAAAATATGTTGATTACAATAATATATAATATACACATTACATTAACACTAGGTTTACGGATATTTATTGCACAATTCATTCAATTATTACTAGAAAAATTGATGTTCGGACATTTAGATCTCGCAAATTAGAGCTTTTAAATGCACAGCTAAGATATATATTCGTATAATTGTATGAATCAAAATCGAGGTAAACATTTATTAAGTAATATTCATAAAACTTAATATATGTGAAATCAACGCGTACCGTAAACCCAGTGTTAACATTTATAAATAAAATCAATGTTTACCTTGGCTGTGAGTGGGTGCAGGGGTGGCGGCCAAGGGTGGTATGCCCTGTGACTGTTGGTTAGGAACCTGATTGGACTGTGCAGGTGCTAAGGGCCATAGGGTTGCCGCCGCGGCAGGGCCGGACGTCTGTTGGGCCCGGGTGCCCGTGTCGCCCACGGCACGATCCCCACTTTGGGCCACGGGAGGGACCAACATCGAACCTCCCCCTCCCGAGGCTGAAATCAAATCGAACAAAAGTTTTCTTTGAGAATCTAGCTCATTGCCATTCTGCTCGGCGACAGCAGAAAATAAGATAACCCGTAATTAACCCTCTAACCGCGTGCGAGTTTTTGATTTTTCAGTACGATATCACCGGTTATCTTTATTTGTTATGCAGATGCATCCTAAAAATGAGATAAAAACTAGCTAATTAATGGGAATAAATAACGGGACAAATGGTAACTAACAATAGCCTGCTAAAATACTGTAACCTGCAATAAATTGAGATGTTAAAACTCAATTACATGGGAATATTTTACAAAATATTTAGCATGTGAATTTCACGTTGCCCGAGGTTGAAAGGTTAAAGACGAGCTTACGTTTTAGCAGGTTGACCATTGCATTTTTAACACGATGACTGTCCCAAAACATCAGCGTTTTATGTACCGTTTATTCTTTCTGTAGCAAAGATTAAAAGGAAGAATTATTAATTATTTGGTATAACAGTTCTTACGTTACATTGTTGCCTGCTTATTTGCGTTATTGAACATTTGTATTCGACGTTAGTTGTCTTATAAATTATAATTATTTTTTTGTAATTTGGATGCTCCGGTCATCGGTGATCTCCGTGGCAGTCAACGTGTGAAAGTTCCATTTGCATGAGCTCTTTTTTCTAAGTTTCAATCTTGTAAGTCTTTTTCATTGCCTATTGCTCTTTGCTCGTTTGAAAACTTCATGCTGGCCAGAACATCGTTATTTCGAGGATCTTTTAGTTAGAGCGGATTAAGGTTTATTAATACGTAAATATAATTAATTTTAAGTTAAAGTAACATGCTGTAAGGATATGATTCTATTTTTGTGTCGTAAGGAAGATTGCAAGAAGAGTAAGAGAAATCTTATACAAAGACCCACTTAACTATATTTCATATATAGGTATGTTTATTTTCAGAAATACATTTGAATTTCTGTTAGATGTCATTAATATTTATGATGTATTAGTTTTTCTTATGAGTGAGCCATCTCTCCTCGACTTGACCTATTTCAATCGGAATATAAACAGAATGTAGCTGATAAAAACCCAGAAAAAAGCCTGAAAATCGAAGATATTAGGAAAAAAAATTCATCGGATCTCAAATCGTATTTTAACAGGAACAAAGTAAAAGCTGGAAAAACGTGTACATGCGAAATATGAATATACGCTGGTATTATATACCCGAGATTACGAGTTTGGGACGGGATGTGAAAAATGGAGCAGAATAGGGCGTGAATCCAAAAATATCTTCCTACACATCTTCCTACATACGGGAGCTCGTGATCTCGAAATTTTCAAGTGTACAAGGTTCAATTTGAGCTTGTATTACATCATCCTACGAGTAACGTAGTTCCTTATCTTACTCTGTATTATTTAATGTTTATAATTAATTAATTAACATAAAATTGATCGAAAAATGGGAAGAAATTAAAGACAACGATAATGAATACGTCAACGATTTACAATACCGCAATTATTGACTTTTTTTACTAGAATTTAATATTGAAAAAAAGACATTACATATGGGATGACGTAATATTTGTAGTGGTTCGTACTGCGTTCATAATGTGGTCGTTAATGCATTTTTATAAATTATAAGCAACCGACTCGGTCAATATATAATATCTCTATTCCATAAATATTTCGAAAAGCAAATTTCGAATAACAAAATATTATTTCTAACAAGATAAAAAAGATGCTTTATATTCTATAAGTGTTGTCCTCATTTTTAACTAAGAATTTTACTCCAATTTGTTTCTTATTTCGTGTCACTTGACTGACCTGACGTCTTAATTTTTTAAGATTTGTGCCCATTTTTTATTCGATGTCTCGATGTTCCCAAGATAGATTTTTCTGGTTATTGGAATGTCCCGATTTTCAGATATTCAGGACTTTTAGCATTCATTTATTACTTCACGCGGTTGTTACGGTTGATGCGTTAAAACGTATAGATAATTCCGTATCACCATACGGCATCAGAGAGGAAAAAGATGTTTTATGAAAGATTTCAAACTTTTTTCCCCTGTTTTTTCTACTCTTCACCTCATGTGTCCCGATTTTCAGTTGTATCGATGCAGTCGTTTCACATGTAATCTGTATATTCATTTTACATAAAGGGAATGAATAGGATTTTTATTTTATTAAAATCTGGAAATAATCCATTATATCACAGAATAACTTATTGAATACTTGACAGTTATAAAGGATGAATGAACACGGAAATATATTTTGTAACACATTTATTTCAAATGAATATGTCAAAGAGATAACTGTTTCATATTTTCTGGTAACAATTTTGCTCCCGTAGTTATAAGAATAATTCAGACACTAAAAAATAATAATTCTCTCGGTATTTATATAACTGAAGTAATAAAAAAATACGTTCCTGTTGATATTCCACAGGGAACAACTTTCTGCGATTGAATTTCGATCGTTGGGCGATATTTGACTTTCGAAGTACAGTTTATTACATTTCAGTGTAATAAATCTGAAAAATTCCATTTGGCTTGATCTTTTAACATTTTCAGTACTCCCAGAGATAAATATATTGCACATTGCAGTTCAATATTTGATTGACAAAAAATGTAATTTACTCTTTCACAGTGTGCGTATTGAATTTCTATTTTAATTAGAATTTAATTAACGCAATATTTTTTCTTGTTTTTATTATTACGAAACGCAAGGAAATGGAGAATGAAGGAAACATTTTACTATGCGCAAAAATTATCTTATTTGTTTACCTTCAACTTTAAATATTTAAAAAGATAAAAATTTGTCCTATCTCTGCTGAGTATTTGATAAATTAACCTGTTAACTACTATAGAGCTATACTATTATATTAATGTATTGTCTTCCATCAAATTTACCTTAACATGAAGCAGTAACCGAGTAAATTATAAGAATTTTATTCATATCCACGCAAGAGATTACTTTTTGACATAAAACCTAGTTGAACGGAAACCTACCATAGTAGTATTTCATTCTGAAACATGACTTGTTGGTTGAGTTAGGCGCATTACAATCTGGACACATATTAAGATTGGAGATTGAAATGGAAGTGTTGATTCGATTGCGAGTTATTTCTTGCAATTGCAAGCCAGAATTCACCGTAATTGCTTCAATCTTAATGCTAGATTAGTAACAATTAACGATCATAAAAAGGAATTTATAAGTATACATTCAGATTACATTATTGCCCACCCTATTAAGCAGAAAGTCGCTAATATGGCGTCAAAGTGTAAAATAGTTGATAAAGAATTAAGAAAACATATCAACTACCACATTACCATAAGTAATAGGATTCATATGAAATACAAGTTCGAATCGAATCTCGGGTACTTGGAAAACTCGTAACTAGTATTCATGAGTAGGAAGATAATTTCCTATTCCACTCGATCTCACCTGAACTTTTTCGATGCAATTTAAAAGTGCCGTATCAAAAATGTAAATTAGATCGAACAAATTTGGGCGCGATTGAGTTTGGTATGAAAAATATTAATAAATATCAATATAAGTATTGAAATAATACTATTTCAATAGTGTGTCTCAATTCCTCTACATCACATTCCTCCTCAACACCTCAAAAACCTCGATAATAATAATAATTCAAGATCTGCAAAAATGTAACATTTACACGTTCAATATAAAGTCAATGTAAGTATCTAGCAGAAAGTACTGTTGACTGCAAAAGTTCGGTGGACACATCGAGCGTCCTATGGCTTTGTGGAAAATAAGTTTAACAATCGCAAATTTTACTGTAGTGGAAAAATATAATTCTTTATGCGTCAATCGATGCAACAGATCAATCTCTACAAGAAACTATTAAACTGTTTCCATCGAAATCCCATCAAAACAGAATAAAAATTACATTAGAGGCATTTGTTGAATAACAAATAGTTCTAGTAATAGTCTCATTCTGATGATAAGGGATAACGAAAAAGTCACTGATGAACCGACGACGATGCGTCGGGATGCAAAGAAAACTTCCAATGGAGTCGGTAGACGAAACAAAAGCCGGCTAGAGCGTTTCATTCGCTAGCAGGGGGTGAGCCACCGAAGGGATGGTCACGGAGGAGGGTTCGGGACGAGCTGAAGCGGAGGAGGGGTAGCAACAGGTCTGCAAATATAATGTAGTCTCTTAGGTACAACGTATACACGCCGACATTCAGCTTCGCGACGTCCGACGCGACGACGGACTGATTTTTTCAGCGGACACGCGTGTTTTCCTTTTTTTCCTCTCTCTCCAAGTGCACCTGCACTAAAATTTGCACATGGAGAAACGGTGAACGAGTGTCGCGTGTCCTGAAACGCTGCGTGCGCGGTTCAATTGCTGCAAAAAGGAGAGCAAGGAGCACGCACGTTGAACGCGTCTTTAAAGCCGTCTTTAACCAGTACGATAATAAGCATGGATAATCTGTCAATCGGCGGATATACGTTCATCGGAGCGCACGGAATAACAATTTCACTGAGCCCGGGAATGACTCTATCGCAATAAAAATAATTTAATCCTTGGGCTACGGTTAAGTTGGCCGTGAAGCTACAGTTACTTACAAATATTATTATAAATATGTCCGGCCACATTCGGACTCTTTCTGTTCACGATGAACAAAAATTACGTTCAGTTGATTACATTACGTACGTTATTATTTATCGGAGTTTCCCATTTTAATCGTTCGGCGAGCAACCCCGAAATCGCGTTCCACTTATTCTGCCAATTTCAGCGGGCTGTGCTGAATTATGACTGAAGTATTGCAATTAGAACAGAGCTATTTGTATTTTCAATCGAACTTGTAACGTTATAGTACAGTGTACTTTGGTGTGTATAATAATAGCTGAGTTAACACGTTGCGTACCGGCTAATTATCAGAAAATTGAATTGCGCGGATTTTCAGTGAGATCCACTTATATCACTATCTATAAAAAAAACTGAAGTATCATATTGTTATGTAATATACTTTAAATGGACAATTAGTTCTAATCGAATTT